AGAGGTTATGTCGAAATTTTATGAAAAATTAAAAAACTTGTTAAGTGTGTAAAACACCTTTTAAATAGGTGGAAGGATGTCAAAAGGAGGAGTTTAGAAACCTTGAAGAAATAGGCTAAAAATGGAAGAAAAATGACTTAAAAACTTTGGGAAAACATGGGAAATGAATGCGAAATCAATTTATCCAACCTAATGACCTATCATTTACTTTTCTTCTTTATCTTCACTCATTCGTCGAGTTTGTGGAAATTCAGGGTGTGACAACACGTATGTATCGTATACAAAAAAACAATTCTTTAAAACTCTACAAGATGAAATTAGAGTTTACCTTCGAGATCGCTTTGGATTTATCTCATCTCAACACGAACGCAGAAACTAAAGACAGACACAGAAAGCAACTTGCTAAACCTCATGGTCTTCTATAGTATATCCCCTAACGCCAAAATTTCGGATACAGTCTGGGCTGCAAGGACCTTTGAACTTTGACTCTCTCTATCTCTCTAAAAAAACATGAGTAATAAATTGATGTTGATTTAGAGAACTTAGACGTCTATATATAGGCTACAACAAAAATCCCAAGGAGAAATAAGGTTCGGGCTTCCAATGGGCCTAGGATTTCTATGTTCAACTCAGAACAAACATGTGACGCCCCTAAATCCGGGGGTCCCGTTGACCACCGTCAACCTACGAAAATATCCGTGAGTGCCGCATAATCCAACATCAGGTAATAGTATCCTTTTACCTGGGATTTTAACTCACACGTGTAACCCATGTTCTTTCAATTATTTAATCCAACCAAGGTTCAATATACCCCAATACATCTCATTTAATGTCCATTTGTATTTTTGGAACCAAGGAACCAAAGGCCAAGGGCATAGCACTTTAATTTTAAATTTGGAAAATTTGGAAAAGCGCACCGGTACTGTGTACCAGTACAGTTTGCCCCCTGGACAGACAGTACCGGTATGCCGTACTGGTACATTCTGTCCAGTTTTGTCCGTTTCATCTGTTTTTCATGTCCAATCCATTTCAAACATTTCCAAATTCATCTCAAACATGTATAAAGATATTTTCTACATTATACATGATTCATACAAGTCTATTACAACCCATTCCATACAATTTACATGCCAAAATAGAATTAAACCAAAAAGTTTTACATAAAAATCGGTTCAAGAGCCACAACCCGGCTCTTCTTCACCTTAGAGGCCCCGTATGTGTGTCATCCACCAGAATATGTCCCGTACCTGAAATGTTTTCCCGTATAGGGTGAGTCAACGCCTAGTAGAATACTTCCTACAAGGGCTACTCTCCACCTAAGTACATATGCAATGTTCATGCACCACATTTGCAACCATTGAATCTTTCCAATCAATAACATATATGTTTCATGTTGGAATCTACCATGTCATGTCATGAATGAAATGAAATTCACTCACGCACCTCAACCCGAGCCTTCACCAGCTCTCACCATACTATGCAATGCAAGTGTAAAATATTTATCTTTGATGAAATACATCCAAAGATCATTTTGAAAACAAACTCATATGTTCATAAAAACCAATTCATTTCTGGATGTTTCCCATCAAATGAATCCTTTATTTAATCAAAACCATGTGTCTTTATTTGGGTAGTGGACTTTTGGTGTTGCACCGCCAGCTTCATACACCGATACACTTTTTTGGACTTACACCGTCGGAAGTGTATAAATCAATAGCCGGGTCTTGCACCCGAGGGGGGGATCTATCCCTTCTTGCTATACCCGACACAAGTTTTTCATGTATGCAACCGTACGACTTAATGGGATATTCAACCCCACTTTCCCGAGCCCACCCATCAAAACACCAAATGTTGTGATTGATCCAACCATGCACTCACACACCCATACTCATGGTCATGGATGCATTCTCCCGTGCAAAAGCAATGTGATACACCATTGCAATACCAATGTCATGCTCAAATGTAATGTATGCCAAGTGAGCTATTTAACCACACACTTCAACATGTGTCAAGGCAATTTACATCATATGTATAAATTCACCAATCCCATTTTCCTGTCAATACATCAACAAGCATTTATTAAAATTTATATCCAACAATCCTTCACAAGCGTATTATACACAACTCATGCCATAATACACTTCATTTACAAGCACTATAAATCACATAGCATGCTCAAGCTATCAAATTCCCAGAAAAGTACACAAGTAACTTCCTATGCCAACATAATTAGGAATTGGTCTAGACCAAATTCCATGCCCATTTCCTCTTTTTCACAACCATGGTCAATGACCTAGATTATTCCAAACCCTTACCCCATTCATAAATCACCCTAGGTAAGAAAATGAATCAAGGTAGGAAAAACCCTACCTCTTGAAGCGTAAAATGAAAACTAAAAGCTTCAAGAACACCCAAAACCTTGATTTTTCAAAATCACCTCCTCGCATCTTTGGTGAAATCTCTTGTTCTTGGTGCGTACGTGTAGCCCTCGTCGCGTAGACCAACTTTAATTCTTTGATCAAGCAAATTCCGACCAACGGAGCTTCTTAGATCGAAGGGGAAAGCTTGAAATTTCTATTTTCTCTCTTTTCTCTCTTCTCCAAAGTGTGGTGTGCTAAACAAGGGTGAGAATATCTGATTTTTTAGATATTTAGCCCTATTTATACTTTTTAATTGCGCGGTCCACATTGTCCCACTCGTTTACCACTTCCGGGGTCGTTTTTAACCCGAAACGACTTAATTAAATTTCGGTTTTAGTTCAAATTAATTTTATTTAAATTTTTATTCAATTACAAGAAAAATTTATAATTTTTGTTATTGGGGACATTTAAAAGTTCATTCGTCATCTAATCGTCTCGAAAAACGTATAAAATTTGACTATCTCGAAATTTGACGTAGCAGCTCAATTTCGCGATACGAATCCAACGGTGAAGTTTGTTGTGTCATACGAGCTCTAGAGAATGCATATTTCAATTCCGTATAATAATGACAAATTACTATTTTCCCCCTTGTCGGAAAAAGTTCAAATTTTTTCAGATTTCACAAAACATCCTACATCCCATTAATAATAAGTTAGTCCACTAAAAACTTATAATTAATCTCCTGAGCCTTATCTCAAAATTATATTCGAGCTCCTTATTATTATATGTTTAATAATCTTCTCATGTTTAATATCACAGATGTCCATTAATTAAATAAATTACTGACAATTATATTTAATTAACTTCTTTTATTCCTCAAGATCTTACCACTCAACTTATTTGTCATGTCGGATAATTAATTCCACCTGTAGAGTTTCATATAGACAAAACTTATGTGCTTCCTCAAAAGGACATCATTAACCCATTTAAATATCAGGAAGTAATTTCCTGTAATAATTAATGACACCATACAAATAACATCGTCTCCCAATTCACCACGCTTATTTACTCAATATGAATCTCACTTTTTGATGAATTAAAGTGACAATAATTACATGCACGTGGCGATTAAATATCTTGAGATTAAGAGTATAAGCAATCATAATAATCATGAGGTATTTATTAGCTTATTGAACCAGTAAAAGAAAATATCCTCAACATGAGTCTGTTCAATACACAAAGTGTACTAGCGTAATAATTCGAGACAAACAGTCTCCTATAGTTAAGACAGACTATGTCAGAATATTACACTACAATCATATTAATGGTTTGTCCAATTCCATTTAGGATTGTGAACATATATTTATTTTATACAAGGATTCGATAATCTGATTTTCTATGTGTAAGCCGAATTCTACATACCAGATTATCTACAATATAAAATATAAGACACACATGTATACTATATATCAAATATAATGAAAATATTTTGCCCACGTAGATTCTCAATAAAAATGAAAAAAACAAACTTTTATTAATTAATAAAGTGAGTTTCACTACAAAAAATAAACTTTTAGTGTACAACTCTATAACTTCATCACACCAAAACTCTCCATTTTTGGCATCTTAAAGCTCTCTGGGAGAGGGTAATTTGAGACGTCTTAGGTAAAAAGGGACTCGGTGTGTTGTACCAAAGCTTCTACAGCTTTCGAGAATCGAGCTTTTACAGTGTTCAAAACGTTACCCAACTTTTCATTAACCTCCTAGAACTTTCGTTCCCATTGGTCATTGACTTGTGGCCAGATAGCCTCATTTTGGTTTTTCTCTTCGTTCATGTGGTTATCATCTCCATGCTCTTGGATCTAGGATAAACCCTTCTGTGGGTGATGTTTGTTGGTGAAAAGCTAAAGAATTTGTTGGTTTGTCGCCTCTTCTTCTAGAGGCGTTGTGTTCCTCCTACCCATTGGATGTGACTTTGGCCACTCGTTATTGTTGGTTTGATACCTAACCGGATCCTTTGATCTTGTGATAGCCATCAGATCTGAAGTCTAGTGAGTAGATTATGTTTGGAAAACGTGTTGCTTCCTACAAACAGAATCAACTGATTCTGGTTAAGAATATTCATCGAGCTCCAGATGTGACAGAGAGTTGGGCCTATTCTCTCGTACACCTGTAGAGGCAAGTCGGAGACTAGAGAAGCTCTAGGGATTGACCCTCCGAGGGTAAATTTAGTTGGAGATATTTGAGGGATTAGAGAAAGCTTTTGTTTGTATTTGATTCACTTACCTTGATCTCCTTTATGGCCTCCCTTCTTATAGGATGCATGGTTAGGCAATTAGCGGATCTTGCTCCACCTCTTTAAGCTAAATTTGTTACACTACACTTGCTTGACCCAGTCTTGTTGGCTATGTAGAAGTGGTGGTTGAGTTGAACTAGTCAAAGTTCTTCTGAAGCAGGCCTCTACCGAGCTTCAAGGGTTTAAGGGATGGTTAGCTGTCGAGTTGAAACTAATCCAAGCTACTGAGCTTGGCATTCCAAGCACACGGCTTTTTCCTATTTATTAGTAGTGGTCATTGTTTAGGAATTTATTGTAGTGATTAGCTGGTGCACGTTCCCTCATAACTCTTTTAGTTACAATCAAACTGAAACTCTATGACACTTTTTTAAAAAATCTAACTATTTAATCGTTAGTTTGACCAAATTTACTATTGAAGCACCAATTCACGGACATTGAAAGTGTTTGAGTTCATAGATAATCTTACAACCTTAATTTTAGTCTAGAGACAAACAATAACAGAAAAATAAAAATTGAAGACAACAAAGGTGTACAAGTGTTTCAAAATGTGGCAAATTAAACTAACATATTGGAAGAGGGGCACCATTCCAGCTCTTGAGACAATCCAACAATGGATCAATGATCAGCCCCTTGCACATTGCAGTAAACACCTTGTCGAACTCCTCTCCCGGCGATCGGACCTTCTCTCCGGTCAGTAGTCCTGTCCCCAGCTCTTCTCTTACAAACTTGTACAATGGGTAAGACCTGCACTCCTTAATTTGATTAGGAATTCCTGGATTTCCACTCTCAACCAAAGTTCTTGTGCTCTCAACCTCTTTTGGCAATAGGGTCTTAAGTTCATCCTCAAAAGCTCCAATCTTTTGGAAGATCGAAGTGCTCACATTCTTCTCATTATCGCCATTTGTCAGTGCGTGTTCGACGAGAACTTGCCTTAATTTTTGCATTAACGGGTAGGTAGCACTGCAGGGATCATCGATATAAGCAAAAATGTGTTCACGATCCACAACTCTAAGCAAATCCTTCTCACAAAACCTTGATGGGTGAAGCTCCCCATTGACACCCATAGTCAGAGTTCTCTTAGCTACTTGGCTGACTGTATTCTTGACAGTATTTTTCAAATTCTCTTCCATATGCCTCAAATCAATAGCTTGGCATAGTGCTACAAGATATGTTGATGACATGAGCTTCAAGATATCAACAGCTTCAGCGGTTTTTCGCGAAGATATTAAGCCCAAGGAGTTCACATCTTGGTTGTGTTGCTCAGCGCTTTGGACATGGTTAGTGACCGGATTGGCAAGAAATTGAAGCTCGGAACAGTATGCTGCCATAGCAATCTCAGCTCCCTTGAAACCATAGTCCAAACTCGGGTTGCGTCCACCAGAGAGATTAGAAGGCAACCCATTATTGTATAAGTCATTAACTAGCTCGGAGAATTGTGCAAACATGAGTTTTCCAATCGATGCAATAGCCAAACGAGTATTATCCATGGAGACACCAATTGGGGTACCTTGAAAATTACCACCATGTAAGGCCTTGTTCCTCGAAACATCGATCAAAGGGTTATCATTCACTGAGTTTATCTCCCTCTCGATCATCTTTGTTGCTGAACGGATTACTTCAATCTGTGGCCCGAGCCACTGGGGTGATGTTCGAAGAGCATAACGATCTTGTTTCGATTTCTGCAATGGGTCCATCTCATGTAACTTCAGAGCTAATTTAACATAAGAGCTACCATCTAAAATATGTTCCATAATAGCTGCAGCCTCGATTTGGCCAGGGTGATGCTTCAATTTGTGTGTTAGATGGTCGATAAATTCGGGTTTACCATTCATTACTTCAGCAAAAATAGCAGATAGAACTTCAGATAACACAAGAAGTATATTAGCCTCAAAAAGAACCATAGAGGCCAAGCCAGAGCCAACAGCCGTGCCATTGACAAGGGCAAGGCCTTCCTTGGGCTGTAACTCGAAGAACCCGCCATCAATTCCAGCACGATGAAATGCTTCCTCTGGATTGAGAGTTTCTCCCGCAGGTCCGACAGCCTTGGAGTTGGGCCTGCCAGTGAGTAATCCGGCAATGTAGGATAAGGGGACAAGGTCGCCCGAAGCAGAAATTGTACCACGGAGGGGCAAGCATGGAGTGATGTTGTGGTTGAGGAACTTTGTGATTGCTTCCAAGATTTCAAATCTAATGCCCGAGTAACCTTGAAGAAGGGTATTGATCCTCACAAGCATTGCTGCTCTTGATGCTGAGTGTGGTAGTGTGTGACAAGATTCTGTTCCATTGCCAAAGATCCCAGCATTCAAAAACCTGCACAATTATGTAACAGTTAATGAATAAATCAGACATTTTAAACTACAGAGACTCTAGTCACATTAAAATTCAATTAACAACATTCTGTAACATTGGGATTGACTTTAATCACATCATCATGTCCTTTCTAAAAATGATGGGCCCATATTTTTCACAGGAAAACTGTCACTCTTAGTCTGATTTTTCTTTGTTGTCAATCTTATTATCAATTTTAATAAATTTTGTATACTGGCACTAATTCATTAATAGACCATATAGCTGGTAGCATAAACAAGACTACTTTTTGTAAAAACCTTCCTAATAAACCAATTAAATAAGTGATTAAGAAAAAGTAGATAGGGGCGGATCCACCTTTAGATTAGGGGCACTTCCCCACCCTACCATGACTTTTGGAACACCTCTCTATATTTTAGTAATTTGAGGTGGTAATTTTGTCTATTTTGATATTCTGCCCCCTAACCTTTCGACAGTTTCTATGGTGGTCTTAGATTTTTTATTTTTAGTTAGTTCGTGGTTTATTAACCCTCTAAATTAATATTTTATTTTTAAAATGGGTAAAACTCGGTCACATCATTAGATCAATTTTTTAAGTTAAAAGAGCATTCCTCTATATAAAAAATCTGTTCATTGTTATGCCAAAGCAGCACAATAAAAAAGCATTGTTTTTTATTTCAAAACTTTCATTTCCACAGCATTATATGTGATAATTTAGTATGAAAAAAAATGACTTTGATAGAATTTTCATACTTTTTTTTTTTTTGGGGGGGGAGGGGAGAGATAGGTTACCTAATGAGCTCCGTCTGAAGAGCACCACCTTGTTTGGTCCTCCTATGAGAAGTAGAACCAAAACCAGTGGTGACACCATAGCTGTCTGTACCCTTGTTCATGCTCTCCATAACCCAGTCACCGCTGGCCTTAACTCCTGCCCTCGCCGCCTCCGAGAGCTCCACCGTGACAGCATTATCACGGGCGGCAATCGCCGCCACCTGCGATATCGTCAAGGTTTCGCCACCAAGCCGCACCTCCGGCTTCCGAAACTCCGCCACCATCTTCTTCACCTCATCCAAGTGGCTACCCTTTAATGACTCAGCTGCCACACCCCAGTTCAACGGGTCTTTAATGCAAAAACCCGAGTCCACACCGTTTGAATGCCCATTTCCCATGGCAGAGTCCATGTTCTTATGCACTGGTTGTACTTTGAATATGCAGAGAAAGAGAGAGAGGAACTTATTGGATGGCTATGAATATCCTGAGTTGTAAGGACAAAAGGGTTGTGGCTTAAATAGAGAGTAGCTTTGAGTGTTCATACTGATTTTGGTAGTTGGGCATTGGGGTGGGAGGAGTGGGGGTGGACGGCCAAATGGGGGTTAGTTGAAGATCAAGCTGGTCCGTTGATTTGGCGTATTTAATGGTTGAGATGCCAAAACGTTTGTCGGCCATAAAATTAAATTTACAGTCTAAATGACATGATAGTTAACTTAAACTTCTTTATTTAGTGTTATATTATTTGAATTCTAATTAAACCTTCAAATAATATGATGTCGTATCATTTAGACTTCACATTTAATCTCAAAATTTAATCAATATAACATTATTTTTTTTTTTAACTTTGCAAAGGGTTAAGAGCAGAGAGAAGCGGTTGGTAGGGTTAGAAAATGTTGAGTGTTCAATTGTGTTAAATCCATTAAAAAAAGCAAGGTTTGGAGGAGGGCTGACCCTGGGCATAGGCCATTGAGGGCGCCGCCTAGACTCCCAAATAACTATTAATATTTAACGTCTTGAAAAAAAAAATTAAGGCCCCCACTTTTAATTATTCTTACAATTTTAGGTACAATCAATAAAACAATAAAAATTTTGCATGACTTTAAAGAGTTTGAACTTAATTTTAGTAGATCTAGACGATAAATGCATTAAATTATTTGGCCTGTTAAATTAGCAGGTCAACATAACCTCAACGAAATATGACACAAACTCATTAAAATATACATGATTATAAGTAACACATGCATGTATTAAGCAAATTCTAACACAATACGATCAAATAATGATTCTTATATTACTTTTATTTTTTTCAATCTTTTTTATGTTCAACATATAAATATTGAAAAAATGAGGTATCTACTCAAGCAATACTTTTGATTTATTAAAATTAAAGTTAATTGGCCGATTAATTATTTATTACCAAATTTTCATAAATTATATTTTTTTCTTATCTTAAATTTGTGACCTTTTTTTTTTTAATATGGATTATTTTTTTGCTCAACTTTTTTTAAATACATAAGAGACATACATAGAATGACAAAAAAAACATATTGAGTTTGAGTAGTTTACGATTCAGAATTTTTCCCCACATTCATTTTTTTGAAAAAATAAATTAGTTTTATCAATAAATTTCAATTATTTTTCTCTATTTTTTCAATTGATAGCAGATTTAATTGTATTTTCGTTTTCAAAATCAACTTTAATTAATAATTTTTTTATATCTAAAGTTTGAAGGCAAAATTAGTAGTTTTACATCTCAAATACAAGAAAAATAATTTTTTAATGAATATATATTAATATAGTAATATTTATTTGTCATATTTAAATTATTATATATCATTACACTGGGGCCAGCTAAATATTTTCACCCAAGACCCCCATTTTTGGTTGGGCCGCCCATGGTTTGGAGGATTCAGATTTTGGAACCGTATCATAAACGAATAGATTCAAAGTATGGGCCAATTCCGGGGTAAAAAAAGTAATAAAAATATTGTTTAATCTATAAATCATTATGAGATCTAGGTGTATTATGAAATAACTAGTCATAACCCGTGTCTGAAGACACGATAAAATATAAATTTGAACGTCCAAAAAGTCGATCTCACTATTTTAAATTTGTTCAAAATATATTAACTACAAATTAATTAAATATTAAATGATTAAATATATGATAAGAATGAGTGATGTGATATTTTTGGAGAGAAAATATATTAATGATTAAACATGTAATAAAAATGAGTGATGTGATTTAACGTTTGAGTTTGACGAGGGGATGATGGGGTGAGGTACGTGATTGGTGATGGTTTGGAGGTAAAAAATATGACTAGAATAAAATTCAAACACACTCCTATTTTATTGTATATATCTAAGCAATTTTACCTTTTACGAAGGAAAGTAAAATTATATAAGTAATTATAAATGTGGATAAACCAATAAATAACAACTCTTCGTGGGGTACTCAAGAACTAATTAAAAATGTTTATACAACTAATGAATCCAAAAGTAATTTTAGAGATTTTTGGGTTAGAATCTAATTTATTTTTTACTCACTTATTAAATGAGTAATGATAGGTTGAATTTATAACAGATTGAACTAAATTCATTAATCCATAAAATAATTAAAACTCTTAATAGACACACATTAGTACACCAAAATACACACATATTAGTACACCAAATTACAAATATATTCACACATTAATATACCAAAACATACATACTAATACACTAAAACACACACTAATATACCAAAAATACACACACATATACCAACTCAAAAAAAAAAAACAAACATATACTATCACACAAAAAAAAACACATTTAATAAAAAAACAAACTACACACATAATCGATCACGAGTTGACCCGTGGGTCATGAGTTGTATCATGAATTGACTCGTGGTTCGTGGGGTCATAGGTTGTGTCGTGGGTCATAGGTTGGGTCATGGGTCAATCTATGGATTATATGTCATAGGTCAGCTCATGGGTCAGGTCACAGGTCATGGGCAAGGGGTGTATTATTGTGTGTTTTAGTGTATTAGTGTATATGTGTGTATTTATTTGATTTTATTACTTGTATTATTTAATAAAAAAATAAATATTCAACCCAATAGGTAACCATTTGTAATCCATGTTAAATCACTTAATTAAAATGAATCATATTACGTAACTCATTTAGAACTCACATTAATTAATATAGGTACACAACTCATTTATTTATAAAACGAGTTGGGCGAGTTAATAAATAATGAGTAAGGATTGCCACCTCTAAGGGCATCTCTAACTTTTATTCAAATTTAGACTAAAATTTAAATTTGAGTAAAAAAATCTAAAAAACTTGTTACAACCCTTGACTCAAACTTATACCAAATTAAGGAAAACTCAATTTTGTACTACAATCAAAGGAGACTTAAAATTTTACTCAAATCTTTAATGGTGAGATTTTTTCATCTTTTAAAGATCCAATGGTTATCTTTATTCCCATTTAAATTTGGGTTTGCTCTTATTTAAATTTGGATCTCTACTTCTTTAAATTTGAGTTTGTCCATTGGAGTTTTTTTATATCAAATCAAGATTTTTACTCAAATGTTAATTTAAATTTGAGTCATGGTTGGAAGAGAGAATATTATAAGAGGGGGAGTGACGACAAGACAGAGTTTGCCTTGTTTCTCATTTACTTTTTTTTTTTGTATTACACTCAGAAGTCTTTGGGTCAGTTTACAAGTATTTAAATTAATCATCTTATCGATCCAATTAAAGACAAGTCCTCCACGACATCATTAAAAAATTTATAAAAGATAAATCCCTTATGAAGTCTCGCCCTCAAAGTAGATGTCAAATTTTAAATTCAAGATATTTAATTTTACAGTTTATAATTATCTCCACTAAGCTAGGTTTAGTGTTTCGTGTGATCTCGTTGCGCTTATGAATTCATCGCCTAAGATGACACAATAAGTGCCTCTAAATTTAGTTGTTTTGAAGTTCTAGTAAATACTAACAGTGATTACCTACTTATACATATGTCCCTGTCCAAAATTTACCATCCCTTTTTTTTGGTAATTTCCTTTTTTTTTTAATGAAAAACTTTGGTATGGATTGTTTTTTTACGATACTCAATTTTATTTTTTGTTTTGGTATTATAATCAGAGATATCCGAATTAATTTACAAAACTTCAATTAATTTTCTTTTCAATTTAGTCAAAAACAAGTCATTCACATCGAATTCACGATAAATAAATTTTCCATGGTTTAATCCGAACAAAATTGTCAAATTTTGAACTAGATCTTTTCGTTAACAACAAAATACTTAGAGGTTTTACTCAAAAATTCAGTATCGTATATAATATTTGCCAATATCTTACATATTTTAATTATATATGCAAAATATAAAGCTCTGAAAATAACTGTTCCATATCTGAATGCACATTGCACGAGTACAAATAAGTGAAACAAGTTGTTTTAAGCTAAACAACTCTGGTAATTGGGTTCAAAACGCGTCTGCGAAGTCTAACAACCACAGCTTTGGCCTTTGAGGACCAGCCAACTTTAAATTCAGTCAACATCACCGTCTCTCACTTTCTCTGTCACTTGCCTCGTGAGTCCTGAGATAAGAAAATTTTGCTTTTTTTTTTGCCTTATTATTTTCCAATAATAAGTGAGATGAACTCTGAAATTTTAACTTATCTTAACTTTTTTTGAAAGAATCGAATCTAAAACCATGACAGCGTTTATTTTTTTTAAAAAATATATTGTGATTTCGAGTTTGAAAATAGTGTCTTTATATTATCTCTTCTATATTTTTATATAGACAATAACATTCTGCATTACATTGGTTACAATTTTTCAAGGGAAACTCCACTTTTTTTAGGTTGACAAGCAACTTTCATTTCTGAAAATACATAAACCCCGAGATTCTCGTAAAATATGGACAAATGATAAAAGCTGACAAAGAGTAGTACCAATTCAATAAAGTCACGTCTTTACATTTATATACGGGCTCTTTGACAATCCCGAAACTTTTAAAAGTGAGAGGTATCTACGGACCGATGTCCACTGTTTCATCTATAAGAAAAATATCATAGATATGTCGGTCATTAGAAGTAAGAACCATTGTAAAAAAAGTCTTCGTGTCTTGTCATTCTGTTTTGTTATTTAGGATGAAAATAGGTGGGTTGGACTTGTTCATACAAGAAAAAGACAATTTTTAAAGTTCTCTCTAGAGGCAAGTCACACAAAAAAATTCCATCCCACTAATATATGAGTCGAATTGAAGGTGGTGTCCATTTTCTACATTTACAAAACAAAATGGGGTCCATAATTTTTAGCAACCACAACCTCCCTTTCTCAATACTAGTAGATCTTGCATAAGGCCACCTAAATTATATAGGAGTGAAATTAGGAGAACACTATATGAGTGAGAAAAGATTGAGAGATAAATTATATAATAATTGATTGTAGTTGATAGACAGTTGTGGGTTGTTGAAGGGTAATGGATAACTAAAGTATGAAGAAAGTAGAGGCAATGTAAGTATTTTGCATCTTGTAACT